AGGAGGGGGAGGGCGGCGGACAGCTGCTCTAAGCCCTGCTTGGTCCCTGAATCATGGCTGTGACACCCAGCTGCTGCCTCCTCTTGGCCCGGGTGGCTCAGGGTAGAGCGTGGCGCTGTTGGGGGCCTGAGGGGATGCCAAGTCTTTCTCACGCCAAGTCGGCTTTCTTAACCTCTTCCTTTGTAACGTTACATTTCCATGAACTAGCAGTGGTCACATGCATACCTGCTTGGAAGAAAGTTCTGAGTGTACCTGACCAAGCTTGCTCCGAGAACCGGTGTCGTTAGCTGCCTTTCTGGGCCCTGCTGCTTGAGTCTTACCCCGCTGCTGCTGGGGCGTGCATTTAGTCCAGACCCACAGTCCGAAAAGCTTTTATTTGGCATTTTTGCTGAAAGACTGGTGACGTTTGGAATGTGTCAGAGGCACGCGCCCCGCCCCTTTCAGTTTCTCATTAGCACAACAAGGAATCAAGACGTCTACACAACCTTGCAGCATTGGCTTTTAAAAAGAATTGGCAAGTGAGGGCTCCATAATGTGGTCTAATTGCTTCTGGTATTTTGAAAATACAATGATTAAGCGTGGCAGAGGAAGGCAGTCTTCAAATCAGCTGCCATGCGTGGAATAAATACTTGGTAAACACGGCGTTTGATGGAGGGCTTTTCCTGTTCTTGTGACGTGCATCTCTCCTGCCTAGGAATAGATCAGCCTTGAGCCAGGGACGCAGCAACCTCTTAAGAGGCCGCTAAGGCAGTTGTATTTCCAAAGACCTTAAGATCCTCCAGATCCATAGTATCTCTGTCCAGTTAGCTTTATTTCCTGGAATCCCCGGGATTCACTTGTAATTCCAAGTTAAATCTGGCATTGCTGGGTGCTGTTTCAGAGTCAGGGGTGTCTTTAGGAAGCAGAACCACACTCTTGTCAGTCCTCAGCACTCCAGCGGCTGAAGATCAGCTGTGGCTCGGCCCGATGTCCACACTGGTGTGACAGTGTGTGATTCGAATCAGAAATGGCAGATTGGCACCATCTCACATGACAGCCCAGGAGAGAGTGCTGTTGCGTTCTCCCCCCGCAGAGGGATGGGAAGTGAAAAACGGAGACGTTGCGGTGTCCACTCCCGGCCCCGGGCTTGAGCCGGTGGCATCTGAACTCCCTTCCCCTCCCTGGTGTCCTGGGGCAGGCTGCTTTTCCCTCTGCTGGGGCTGGGTGAGGTCCAGCCTGAACATCTCCTGGTTGTGCTTTCAGACCTTAAGAAAGAAAGGTTTTAATGGTTGTGACAGCCCTGAACCTGATGGGGAAGACTCCATTGACCAGAGCCCGCTGACGGAGGACAAGTATCGCAAAGCCAGCGAGGACCTGGACATCCTCTTCAAGCGCTACGGCGTAAGTAGCCGCCCCCCCAGGCCAAAAGCCCCTCATGACCTCTCTCTTTTTCTTTTCTTTTTCGTTTTCGTTTGTTCGTTGGATTCAACGCCCCCCGCCCCCCACGACCTACCTTCCTTCCCTCCCCACTGGCCACGTAACAGGCGCTGAACAAGAAGCATAGAGAGTGTGAAAGCCCCGACGGGGAGGACGTCTTTACCTTGACACCTCAAACTGAAGAGAAGTATAAAAGGATTGATGAGGAGTTTGATAAAATGATGCAGACTTACAGGCTCACAGTGAGTAACCAGGGTGGCCCGCTGGCTCCCCTCCGCACGGCAAGGGCTGCTGCCCGGACAGTGTGCCCTACTCACCATGCCAGTCCTGCACGTCCTCCGAGCATTAACACGTGCCTGGGTGCCGTTCCCCTCCATGCTGCTCGCCTGGCCGAGCCCTCGGGCTCCCCCCAGTCCTGCGCAGAAGGAAGCAGAGGCGGGCGGGGGGCAGGGGCTCGGTCCCGTGGGGTGATCCAAGAAGGAAAGGACCCCCTCCCAGGGAACGCAGGTTTGGAGACAGGCAGCCCTGCCCTTGTCGCTGCTTAAAATTGGGAAAGAGAGCCGAGTCCGTGGACCAATGTTCATGAGCCGGGTCCTCCCCGCCAAGCGTCTGAGAAGCATTTCTCTTCCGTCTCAACTCTCCTTCTGATGGAGGGTCTCAGCACAGCTAACAGCAATCTATAGCCATCGTAAAATGGGCTGTATTTTGTCCTGGTGGGTAGGAGACCAAAAGGGGGTTGGAACCCATTTTACCAGCCACAGACTGAAGGCTTGCCGTGAGGTGAACCGTCTTTGAGGGGCTGGTTTGCAAGGAAGCTACTGGAGTCCGTCAGTGCCAAGACCGAATCATCGTTCCTACAGACACGTGGTGGACGGGCTTCCCTATGTCCCACCTCCTGAGCAAGCGAGGGGCTAACAGGAGAACATTTACGTTTAAATGGTTTCCAGAGGCTGAAGCCATCCCCACAGGACATAACAATGCTGTGTCAGCCACAGACTTTGGCTCAGAAGAACTGAAGAAGGGGGGGCGTTGGTGGGAGAGGAAGGCGCATGTGCTTCCTAAGAGAATTAACCCCCACCTTCTGCCTAACTAACTGGTAACCCAAAGCTGCTCTGGCCAGAGCTTCTGTGTCCTCCCCAGAGCCGGACCCCCGTGGTGTGGCGCCTGCAGCCTGTGGTTCTCTTTTACAGCTCCCAGCATCGCAGCCCCCCCCCATTTCCTTCTGCCCCTGCGCCCAGGGCGCCCAGTCTGTTCAGGGTGGAGCACGAGGCCTTTCTGGGGTGCAGGGCTTCCCCAGGAGAGGAGGCTGGGGGCGGGGAGGCGGGGAGGAGGGAAAGCAGAGGCGGCAGCAGACCCCCAGACCCTTCCCCAGAGCAAGCGGCACACTCACTGGCCTTTGGGACCAAGGCAGGGGGCGGGAAAGAGATGAGCGATGGGGACGCTGCTTTCTGCTGAGTCCGGTGTGAGCAGAAAGCGTCTCAGCTCCAAGCCCCTTAGATCCCACTGCCAGCTGCCTTTGTCTCCAGAGAGGTCACCTCCACCCTTACAAAGCGGTCAGCCTGCGCCTGGGCCGGACCCTTCTGGCCGCTCAGTCAGGAGCCCTCCAGATCAATCGAGCTTCCAGACGAAACCCTTCGTTGCCTGTGGAAAAGAAGCACATCGAGAAGAAGGGCTCCATTGGAGACCTCTCTGGGCATCGACTTCCTCAAGGGCTACAGCTTTGCACACCCATGGGCACACCAGCCACCGGTCAAGGTTTTTCCTGCTTTGCCATAACACAACAAACTCTGAAAAATTCAAATGCAGCCATGTCAGAAGCCATGAGGTAGCACGTAAGGTAAAGCGCTTTTGTTGTTGTTCAGTCGTCAAGTCGTGTCCGACTCTTCGTGACCCCATGAGCCATATCGCGCCAGGCCTTCCTGCCCTTCACTGCCTCCCTGAGTTTGCCCAGTTTCATGCTCAAGGTAAAGTGCTACAGCTATCCAATAAACAGAGGAGTTAA